TTTGAAACAAATAAAATTAAGAAAATAGATATTTAATTACACTTTTAATAAATTTAAGATAATACTAGTTTTGATTTTTATTTTTAAATATTTATTTTAATTATTTAAAACAGAGAAACTATAATTTTAGTTTCTAACTACTGAATTTAAAGAATTAAATTTATTATTATTTAATCTTTTAATTTTAGTATTAAAATTTTAAATTATATTTTATTAAATTAAAATAATTACAATATATTTTTCTACTTTGAGAATGAACAATATAATTAAACTTAAAATTGACAATATTATAATATATTTTTGAACTCTTTTGGATTAATTTTTTTCCTAATTTTTGATAAATTTAATTTTAATATTTAAAAGTATTTAACATTTTGATATAATGAGCATGATAATATAATGATAGAATTTAAAAAAATGTAGAATTGAGAATTTTATTTTTTTTTAAGAAAATAGAGATTTAATTATACTTTTAATAAATTTAAGATAATACTAGTTTTTAAACCTTTTTCTAATATTTGTTTTTAAAAATATAATATCATTTTTAATATTTTATAGATTTTATATTTATATATTTATAAAAATAATTGGATTAAATTTATTATCCTCTCATATATTATTATACATTTAGCGTAATTTTAGTTTATTTAAAAATTAGAATACAAATATACTATACCAATATACCATTATATTATTTTCATTGTATATAAATTACAAAATTAATAATTTGTATACTATACTATACTAACATATTATTTGTATACTATACTAATAGTATAATATACTATATTATAATATTATTTGTATACAAAACTAATATCTTTATATATAAATATATAAATATGGAAAGATATAAATATATGTAAAAATATAAACATATAAATATATATAAATATGTAAAGATATAAACATATATCTTTAATATTTTGTAAATGTAAATATAATTTATATATATTTTTAAATATTTTTCTAATATTTAGTTTTAAAAATATAATATTATTTTTAAAATTTAATATTTTTTTTCAAATATATAAATATATAAAGATATAAATGTATAAGGATATAAATAAATATATAAATATATCAATATATAAATATATCAAATATAAAAATATAAAAATATAAATATATTAATATATAAATATATCAATATATAAATATAAATATATATATATATATATATATATATATATACAAATATATCAATATATCAATATTATCCCCTCATATATTAATATACATTATGCTATATAAATATATCAATATATAAATATATCAATATTTAAATATATCAATATTTAAATATATCAATATTTAAATATATATTAAAATATATAAATATATTTTTATTTATAGATTTTATATTTATATATTTATACGGATATACATTTATTTGTATATAAATATAATTTATTTGTAAGTATATAAATATAATTTATTTGTAAGTTATATATTTCTTGTAGTGTTATTTACCAAGCCGTCTAAGTAAAATTATAATTTCCACTTAATTTATCGTTGTATGAGACTAAAATTTTGACAACAAGTTCATGACATAAGGTTATTCGTTTTGACCGTTGGAATTGTTAATTTTAGGTTTGTAATTGGAAATATCAATATTATATTGTGGCTAAATTTTTAGTTTTTTTTTTAAATTTAAGAGTATTATTAATTACTTGTAGATACTTATTTTTATATTTTGATTTACCTCTTTTGTACTCTCATTTTAATCTTAATGGAGCTGGATTGAGTGACTGTGTGCAAGTGGATTTTTAGTTCTCATCTTAAAAGGGTTTTACACATTAAAAATATTTATGTTTCTTTTTAGGATTATTCTTGTCACTTCTTACATGTTCTTACAAGTTTAGAAAATTATTTCCGCTATCTATTTTAATATTTTTTATTATTGTGTTGTTTTTTCCCAATTAGGTTTTGGTTAAAATATGATTAGTTAAGTTAAAACTGGAACACGGTGAATTAGTTAGAGTTGGGATATTATCGAGTTTATGTGTTATTATTATCGTTGTTTTTTTTAGCGTAGGTCTGATATAATTTTTTTCGTTAAGAAATGTTTTTAATTAATATTATTTTGACATTATTGACGGTAAAATAGGTTAATTTATCCAATTTAGACGTGCCATTCATATTTTCGTAGAAAGATCAATTAATCAGATTTTATTATAATTATTTTCAAATACTCTACGATTGATTATCTAAATTTAATTAATTAATATTTATACAAACAAGTTAAAGATTAATTGTTCAAATTTTATTATAATTATTTTTAAATACAATCAATAATTTAAATTTAAATTTTATTAATTAATATTTATATTTATCAAATTGTATTATAATTACTTTAAATACTCAATAAAATCAATAATTTAAATTTAATTAATTAATATTTATACGAATATTAGTTAAAATTTAATAATTCAATAATATTCTTAATAAAAATGATAAAAATAATAAAAACTAAATAAAAAATGGGTTAAATATTAGAATAAAATAATAGTAATAATAATATTTTTTTAAATATAATACTTCTGAAAATAACACTTGTCTTAAAAATAAGAAACTACAGGATAATTTCATAAAAGAAACCATTTTTTCTTTCTTAATTTTCTCCCTTATCTGCAAAAAGCAGTAACGTTAAAAATATAATGATTTTAGAATGTTTTACAAAGTACTATAATTATTTTATAATAAAAAAAAGTGTAAAAGTATAATTTTTTTCCTTCTCAAATAATTAATTAAGTAGTACTAAACTAAGAAAGATAACATCTAATCAAGTTAGAATACTTGAAGTTAATTGGTTAACTGAAATGCACAATTGTCACTCAACGTAAATTTTAATAACTTCAGTTTAAAGGGGAAGATAAACTTCAACCATAGAAGAAGATAGTTTTCAACCATAGAAGAAGATGGATTTCAAGCATGATTGAGAAACACATACACAATATTCAAAATAAAAAAGAGACCCAGAAAACCAATGTGACCACAAAATCTTAGGTCATCCACTAAGGAGACCAAGCAAAATGCCAAAACTCAAGATGTCAAATGGGAACAGTGACAGCACTTCATAGAATGGTGTACATCAACCTACATTTCAACAGAGCTTGTCTAAAGATCATTACTCTTTGGTCAAAAAACAAGAAAATCCAGCTCATCTCAAACTCAACAATTTTTGTATTTTTTAAAATTAATTATAATATAAATAACTATATTACATTAACATTCTTAAACTATCAAGTAACCAAATTTATAGATATTACTTAAAAATAATCAACAAGATATGAAATAATTACAAGAAGAAAACAGAGATATATTTAAAAAATATATAATAAGATGCAGTCTCAACAATTAATTTTTGCATATAACTTAAAAAAAAAACATAACATAAATTATACTTACAAAGGAAATCCAATTATAATTTATCAAAATTACAATCTAGTAACTACTACTACTACTACTACAATAATAATAATAATAATAATAATAATAATAATAATAATAATAATAATAATAATAATAATAATAATAATAATAATAATAATAATAATAAACTTATAACTAGTTTAGCATTATGTTCCTTCAATTTTTTTAATTGAACAACCATGAAATTTTGAAATTTATTAAATTGCTTAACCAATTCTAAACACAAATAAGTGTTTCAATCATTATGGGTTTAACAAACTTCTAAAAAATTTGCTTCCAATACTAAACTCACTCTTGAAGGTGATCATTGAAACAAGGATGATTAACACATATCTCATATGGTGGACAAAGTGGAAAACCATCAAAAATTTATTTTTCATCAAATTAAAATATCAAGTATTCCATTATCTTTTATAATAAAAATTAAGAGTATTTTTTAGTTTATTTTATTTATCTATAAAGTCTTTCTCTCTCAAATATAAACATCAACCTTACCAAATATTTAGGAATTTCAACAAAGGTTATATTTCATATTAAGAAGCAAAGTCTATTATATCAGCATGTGGTTACTCATATCTATGTGGTTACTCATATCTATGGTGTTACTCATCATGAATTGATTTATACTAATAATACATTTTCTTTTCAAACTTTTTTCTACAAACTTAATTAATTCAATAACTTTATCTGTACGTGTTTATATATTTCTTGAAAATTTTAAAGCACATACTTAAACACTTTTAACGAGGGTAAAAGAATATTATTAAAATAAAAAAAAAATGATGTTGTCATTCATTCTCATTTGACAATCAGTTAGGACTAATACAATATTCACACCTTTCTTATTAAGTGTGCATAAGAGATAGTAGTCAATTGGTAATGCAACATATATACTTATAATGATGTAAAATAAAATATTAGTGGTTTCATAGGAAATTCTTAAAAACTTAATTAATAAATGATAAGACATTTTTCTAGTCATTAACCTCAAAAAAAAAAAAAATTCCATAAGTAGAGTACTTATTATCAAACTTTTCAAATGCAACTTGAATTTATATTATTGCATCTAACATCATAGATGTGGAATTACACTTTGTGGGAACATTAAGACACATTAATTTTTTTAACAAAGTTTTGAAAACTCTATGCATTCTGGAAACATAGCCCATCTTTGTGGTGAACACTTTACAAATCTAACAATATTCCTAATTCTTGTTATTGAATTGTGCAACTCTTTAAAACTATCACCTAGAACTAAGTTTAGCATATGGATCCAACATGGAATAGTTGTCCATCCATTACTAATCCACCTATATTCTCTATTTTTGTTTTTCAAATATGCTTAATTATGTCATAGATGATGCATTGTTAATGGTGATTATTGATACATTTTGGAACTCCTCATTTCCTCAATACTTCTTCAACTTTCCTTCTTATTGTCTCCTCTTTATGATTGATAAACTGTATATCCTTGTGCAATGAGTGTTAAATAGTTTAAGTTATGACTTGATGCTTAATGATCAATGTTCAGTACTACTCTAACACAACTTGACTTAAAGAAAATCTTAAAATGGTTTTTCTTTGTAATTCCACGATGCTAAGAAGAATGCTCTCTTCATTCTCAAACAATATTTGTAGTTAAATATCCTCCATGCGGGTTTTAAGTTGTTGACGATGATATCTGCATCCATCTTAGCTGTTGATGGACACAAAATGTTCTTCTGCTTAGAAGAACATGATCTTCAAATGTGCTCAAACAAACTTGTTAATTAATAACTTTTAAGCCTTCAACATTGAACTTTAGACAAGACCTACAAAAGGGAGATCATATAAAAAAATCTTCAATATATCAATAAGAGGAGAACAACAATGTATAAAATAAAGAATGTAAAGATTATGTAAATGTAATGGTGTTACCTATTTAGAAACTTTTATCATAGTCTATATTAGATAATAAATAATACTGTTTTAAAAAATTATTTTTAAATAACTAAATACATTAATATATTATATTATTTATTTTATCAAAAAATTAGATTTATTGAAATATTCTGATTATTATTTATTTTAAATCATTTGAACTTTAATGTACATTATTTGATAATTATCTTTTGTGTTACATAATAACTAATATATATATATATATATATATATATATATATATATATATATTTTTAAAAATTTTCTATTAAAATTTTATTTGAGTGTTATGAAAAATATTAAAAATAATTAAAGTAATCATTTAATAATACCTAATTTTTAATAATAAAATTTTATTAATGAAAACTAAAATATAATTAGTAATCAATAATTTATTTATAATTAATAACATGGAGGGGAGGTATGGGATGAGATGATTGATCATCCAAAAAAACATATTTCTCTTTAAAGTTTATATATAAAATTAATTTAGTCTCTTTACTAAAAAAATTCTTCATATAAATTCAATCTTAGAAGTTTGGTAAACTTATCATCTGATCGAATAAAAAAAATATTCATTGAATTTTATTTAACTCAGTCCTTAGAGTAGAGTTGAATTGAGTAGAGTTAATTAGATCATAATTTTTTTAAAAGTTCTTTTATTAATTTTTTAATTTCAAAACATATATTTTTTAGTATTTTTAGAATATTTTTTAAATAAACTATATTATTTATTATTAAATAATTTAAATTTTAAGAAAATATTTAATTAATATAATAATTAAATAAATGAGATAATAAATATATTATTATTTAATAATTTTGATTTATTAAATTTGGTTGGATTTAATAATAATTTAATTAAATTTATTAAATTAGATAAAATTGAATTTGAATGGATTTGAGAAATTTATCATCCCTAACCTTAGAAAGTAGGATTATTTAGTCGTATGAACATCCCTAACCTCCATTACTTATCAATGATATTTTATTTTAATTAAGCTCATATATACCTCTTTTTTTTTTTTTAATATCTTATCTAATAAAAACTTATCAATATTAACTGTAAGGTAAGATGAAATTTTAACTACGATTGAAGGACAATACTTAAATAATTTATTTTATTTTATCTTAATATATTTGTTGCGAAGATCACATATTTGTTTTAATTTAATATGTGTGATAAATGGTTGTGAATATCACAAAAGTAAATCTAGATGTTACAAATGTAATCTTTATCCTAAATGGTTACTGGTTAAAGTGTAATAAATAATATCTCGTGACAAGTGTATGGATTGGGTGGGATTTAAGGTGATTTGAATTGATGTGTAGGATTAATTGGATTGAGGAAAAAAAATGAATTTGAAGGGATCCATGTGTATTTATTGTAATTAATAGTGATTAATATATGATAATTGAATAATAATATTTTTAATATAATGACTAAATTACCCTTGTAAGGTATAATGAAATATTCTTGTGGATGAAAAAAATTAATAAGTCATTCTGATATTTGTTACTTAATCATCTATTTTCTCAAGTGAATTTTTTAGAGTAAGAGACACACCTAACAAAAACAATTTTCTTTTAAAATAAGAAAGTGAATGAAACATATTTATCATATATATATATATATATATATATATATATATATATATATATATATATATATACTTTTAAGTTGATTTTTTTTTTCAAATTTAAAATTGATCTTTTTTTTTTGTCACTCCCTGGGCTGAGATATCGCATATAAAAAATTGTGAAATTAAATATTTTGAAGTAAAATAAACACAATTAAATATTTGATGATGGGAATAGAAAATCAAAGTATATTACTTATCAAATAAACTACTTATAATTGTTAATTATTACATGATATCAGTTTATTACGAGTAATTTGTCATATTTTGAATAACGTTTCATGCTTCTGGTTTGACTTGTATGTTTTGAAATTTAATCATTTAATTGATATTGTCAACGTATAAATGGCTGTTATAAATGAATATAATTATCTGTTTAGAAATATAATTAATTATTATTCGCCTATTTTTCTTAATTTGTCTGCATCTAGTAATCTAATTAAAATGAAATAAATGATTATTTCACCATTTAAATCAAATTATAGACACGATAGGCTATAATTGTTACAATTAATTCTTAAACCCCGTTTTGAATTAAAGATTATAACTTTTGCTCCCATATTTTAATTTTAAAATATTTAATATTAATATTATCATTAATATATGATACACTATTAATGTATAAGTTTAAAAATAATTAATTTTTATTTGATTTTGTTGTTTATATATAGAAATTGTGATTGAAAGTTATATACATTGAATGCATTTATATTTTAGCTATTAATTTTAATGAAAATATTAATTTTAATAAATAAATTAACTAATATTAATAAATGATTTATTTATAAAATACTAAATTAATAATATCAAATGTTATATTAATATCTATGTATTTTAAATGGAATGAATGTTTTTATTATTTAATTTATTTTAAAAAATAAATAAATTATAGAAAGACATTCCATTTCATTTGACGGAGACATATCCTTTAGGGTTTTTTTTTTTTTTCTATTTAAGGTTTTAGAAACCGTTGTAAATGGTGCATGCTCACAAATACATATCAGAAGGGAACGACCATGCACAATTTCCACGAGTACCTAAACAAAGCATAAAATATATTTTAATAATAAAGTTTGTTAAATTTATTCTAAAATCACTGCAACAAAGCTACTATTGAGAATTGACACTACAGTTTATCGCTTGAAGGTTCTCGCCTCCATTTGAGACAAAAGTTTTCAACGTGAGAGAGAAGAGTTAACAGGAGAAGAAGCAAAAGAGCCTGAAATGTTGTTCTTTTGTGTCTGAAGAACAGAAGAGACCACAAGCTGATAAGCTCTCTCAGTTGGATGGGCCAAATCCCAGAAAATGTAAGTCGCAGGATTTGGACACACACTGAGAAGGGTACACGGCAATGAAGATCCGAATGAACCACTCCCACAACACCCTTCTGCTACGTCAGTAAACCCTGAAATAATCATGAAGTTGATTCTAGTGTTAATATAATCCACACAAATAAATTGATCTTGACTTAGCGAGTATAGAAAATGACCTGATGGCTGAGGATTATTTATGAGATTCAGGAAAGGAGTATAGACATCGATGAATCTAATGTCGTAATTTGTAAGGCTGGCTCTGATAGAATCAACTGCGGATGATAACTGGCCATTGAATGTCTGTGCTTCTAGATTCGGAATGGGTGCACAAATTCTCAATGGTCCCCCTGCTAAAGTTCTACCTCCAGGTAAGCATCCCAGTGGCAATGTACTCAGTACCCACACTTTTCGTACTCCAAGATCATATAGACTCTTCAAGTTAATTGCAATCAAATATACAGTTAACATATATATACAGAAAATTACACTAGAAAATGAAAAAGAAAAAAATGAATTGTATAGGAGGAAGTGGCGATGGAACCTTGAAGAAATTTGAAGTGGTGGAAATTAAAGTAGAGACATACGAAGGGAAAGGGTGTGTTGTGGCTAGAAGTAAAGAATATGTAATGGCAATGTCGTTGTTGCCGGCGGAAACAAGGAAGAGGCTGTTGGATATGATGTCAGTCGCGCGTTGTTGTCCGACCAGCGCTGTCAGTTTCCCTATGTATTCTTTGAACATATTCAGTTGGGTTGGCTGTGATAGAACTCCCTGATCTCACACATAACAAGCACCATTCAGTCTCACAAACCAAATTATCAGATATTCAAAATGTTATTAATGCATTCTTATGACTCTCCTTAAAAACAGATTTTGTTTGAGACACAATAATATTTCCTATTAACTGTTGTATCATTCAGATTGCAGTGAAATGTAACCAATTGATGTTACCTGTATTTGAGAAGTGCGATCATCAATCCCAGACCCAGCAGAAGCAAAGCAAACCCCAGTGATGAGGTCTTGAGGGCTCAAGTTGCCACTGAGATATGCTGGCACTGATTCTTTTATTCCCAACGCCGTTGCTGCATAAACCATTCAATTCATATAATAAACCATTTTGGATTAGCTATGGTATCTTTGTTTTATATCTGAAAAGTAAAACTAAAAATCAGGCATGTTCATGAATCTTATATTACCTATCAAATCTGTGGGAGTTTTTCCATTACAAAATCTTCCTGTAGGTCTTCCTCCTTCGAAGTCCCTTCCATAGGGAGGATAATTGCTCTTGGTTAACGTTACAAGGTTGTTATTGTTTCCCGTGTCAAGGATTGAGTCTCCAAATGCAAACAATGCTGGAACTGCTGCGTTAACAGCTACTCCTTTGGGAAATCTGATAGCAAAGAAAGCAAAAAAAATCGTTGCTACTCTCTCCCAAAATTTGTGATCCATTTTACTTTCTCAATGCTTTTCTTCCTTGGCAGTGTGGTATTTATAGATATCTCATTTAATAGAAATTCAACTAGTACATCCTATTGATGTATATTAATAAATAAATACAGATATACCTAAAAAGTTAGGATAAAATTTCACAGAATGTAGGACCAAAATTTAATTAATACATTAAAAAAAATTAAAGATTTAACTCATGATTGGATTGTAAATATAGAATATTCTAAATAGGGGATTGCCATGTAAGACCATAACTACAAGAAATTGAATTGTGTTTTAATTTTTTTTTTTAAATATAAATTTCCATTCAACGTTTGAAGTCAGATATAAGATAATAGGAAAAAAAGCACGATTTTTCTATTATTCTGTCTTTATTTTTTGAGATTATGTTTAGTTAAGAGAATAACTAAATTTCAATGTAACATTTAGTTTTTTACCATCAATATAAAGTTTGGATAATCTTCCTTAATTAAATTTAAGAATAAGGGATGTGAAGTGACTTGTTTCCTGTTAGACCGTGTATGGTATGTCAAATATCGTTCAACAGGATTTGACTCCCAAAAAATTGGTGATTACTCTCTTTGATTCATCTTCAATGCATTGGACCGATGAACCTTTCTTCTAATAAGTTTTTTTAGCCATGAATAACAAAACATTAAAATTACACAACATAAATTATTTTATCTTCTATATAAAATTCAAGTGGAACAATATAAAATCTCAACAAAGTTTTAAAATAAAATAATTAAATGAAATGGTGGGTCAATTTTTCATCCCGTACGCGTTGTAATAATGTAAGCGAATTAGGAAGCTTAAATTTAGGGATTGGAATATGAATCAAAATATTGGCCAATCCCTGAGTCGGATTGAATTAAAAGTATTTAAAATATTTTAATAGCGGATTAAAGTGAATTAATGAATTAAACGAATTCAAATAAAATTAATAATAAATTAATATATTTTTTCATTATTTAATATTCTAATTTTGTTATCTATATGTTAAGATAAATTTATAAAAAAAATATTACACTAAGATAATTCATCTAATCCATATTATAATAAGTGTGAGAGTTGGATTAACTCATTACCACACTTAAATTTCACCTCATCAAATCTCATCCCACCCCTAAGTCATTTGATCTTATTTCAGTCTCACATCTATTTTTATTTTTATTATTTTTTAATAGATCTACGAATTCATAAACTTAAATTAATATATATATATATATATATATATATATATATATATATATATATATATTATTTTAAAACATATGCGCATCACAAATTATAATATATATTTAATATCTACATTTTTTTTCTTTTTTACAGTAAATTGTAATTCTAAATATTATTTATTTAATATATTAATTTATTAATTATTTAAAAATAAATATTAATTAATTCATATTCCAATTTTTCATTTCCACTTTATCATTAATTTAACCATATTTGAAAAGATCACTACTTTCTAGGGGTGTCAAAGTGAGTCAACTCGGCTCACACAGGTTGGCTCACCACGGGTTGAGCTGAAAATAGGTGAGCTCAACCCGACTCACTTTTTGACGAGCCAGAACTTTTACAATCCGGCTCAACCCACCACGGGTTGGTGGGTTGACTCACTAACCTATACTTTTTAATTTTTTAAATTATATAGAAATTTCGGATGTAAAAACTTATGTTTTCTTCCTTTCTTTCTCAACATCAGTATCTTCGTTATTAACTGAAATTGGCTCATTGGAATTTTTATTAATAATAAAATCATCACCAATACAATTTACATTGACACTTTGATGTATTGTTTCGGATTCCATACTGTAAATTAATTTCAAAGAAAGAAGTCAAAAATTCATATATTAAAGAGATATAGGTATAAATCAATAACAAAAAACAAATAATGTATAGATGCTACAATTTTCACATAAAGATTCATCAATCCAATAGTTTAGGTTATGAAACAAATTCTTATCTTCGAAAGCAATATAGTGGACATGGTGTAGTGGTGCGGTGGACAGATAATATGACAAGTGACCAAAGTGTAGCGGCAAACGTAATGGTGCAACGAACAACTGATAACAAGTTTAAGTGAGGGTTTGACTTGTGGCGACAACCAACAATGTAGGGTAGAGGTAAGACATAATAACATCAATTAGGATTACTAAAGTATTATAATTATTTTTAAAATATAAAATAAATGATTAATTAAGGTTAGTATGTTATTATAATTATTTTTAAAATTTAAAATTAATGGTGTGTTGCGGGTCAACCCACCATAACCCGACTCAAACCCATTTAACCCAGTGGGTTAAGTGAGCCGGGTTCATTTTTAACCCATTATCGGTAGAAATAAAAAAAATCAAACCAAACCCGGCTCAAATCCGTGGTGAGCTGGGTTGGCTCACTGGTTAGAACCCCCCTACTACTTTCTATCAAATTTTCATAAAAGTAAGATATGAGATAAATGTTTTTATATTTATATGTATAAATATATGAACTTTATAAGTTTAGATAAGAAACAATTATTAAAATTGACAAACATTTATCTTTTAAAAGTGATTAATTTATCAATGATATTTGCCTTCCCTCTTATGTTTTCATCTATTTAGGTTGATATTTTTAGTTGTAACATGCATAACAGATCAAAAGAGGGAAGTAAGAATAGTTAAGTAAAATAATATAATCTCAAAATGATATATATAAAATCAACTTATCAACATCGTCATACTCCATTTATAAAGATTTGAATTAAATTTGTAGTAACTAATTAGGATAAATAAGCTCAATTTTAATTACTCTTTAAGTGATATTTACTTATTTCAATTCCCAAGGTTGAACTTCCATCTACCGTTTCATCAAATCTTTATAAATAAAATATTTTACTCTTTAAAAAAATTTACACAATCCAATAATACAAATATAAATTAATGAACAAGGACCAGATACGTAATTGGGAATAAATATAAATATAAAATATGATCAATGCGTAATCGAAGATAAATAAATAAGTATAAAACAAAATCAATGTGTAATGAGAGATAAAATAAATAGGATCAATGTGTAATAGAAGATAAATAAATAAATATAAAACAGGATCACTACGTAAGTAGAGATAAATAAAATAAGATCAGTGCACAACTGAAGATAAATAATTAAATATAACGAGAGGATCAATACGTAAATAAAGATAAATAAATAAATAAAATATAGGACCATTATGTAAATTATTTTAATTTTTATTTATTTATAAATCTTACATTTTATGACAAGCTTATCTCATATATATATATATATATATATATATATATATATATATATATATATATATATATATATATAATATGCGTATATATATTAAATAACTATATTTTTTAATAATATTCTTTATTTTATAATAATAAAAATATTTTAATTATTCAAAAATATTATAATTTAATACATTATATTTAGAAAATTTTATACGATAAATTTTTCACTAATTTACTCTTCACACGAGATGGAAGAGCGATAATTATACACATTTATTTCTAGCGGTTTGACGAGATTTGTAGTCGTGGATTTGAGGGAGAGTGTTGATGATGTGCCCCCGCTTGAATGAAGAGATAAGACGAGAAACACAACTCACCCAGTGTTCATTTACATTTTTGTTCCTGTCGGTCTCCACGTGATCCAATTGTGCATGACATCCAACAACAATAACCAACGGAGGAAAAAATTGTGCATGCAGGGAATCGTTGTAGAGATTTCTACTTATCCACATGCATGCAATTACAACTACATTGAAGATTCATCCCAGGCCATGTTGACCATTATCATGACCATGGTAGTTGAAGGTTTAGGGTGCCATTAAATACCTGTGAGAGAAGGCGTTCGTGATGTGTGTTTATCTTGTGAGGTGTAAGTCATATTCAATATATTGCTCATTCACATAGTGAGAATGACTCTTGGTGGTTGTGGTTTGGTTTCTGTGTGTCATGTTTTGGTGGGTGAGAGTGACAGAGAAAATGATTGTGGGTAAAAATAGTTGTAGAGAACCGATTCTCGGTGCCCGTAGAATCGATTCTCTATGAGTTGAAAATTGATTATTGCTCACATTCAATGCATGGAGAATTGATTCTCATCCCTATTATTCACACTGAATTCATTCTCTCAATGGCTAGAATCTATTCTTGATGAACGAAAATCGATTCTCACGCATATTGTTCATGCAGAATCGATTCTCGCGTATGCGTTATGCAGTATGTTTCAATAATTGATGTGTGTTGTGTTGTAGATTGTGCGGGTGATTGATGAGTCATGGTGTGGTTCATTGTGTGGACTGTTGTTGTTAGTGGTCGATTCATGATGTGTGTGATGTTGGTTGAGTCGGTTGGTGTTTGTTGTAGTAAAGCATGCAAGGAACGTAAGAACACCACATGTAAGCTCAAAATTTAAATTTAAATTTTTGTATATTTGGTTAAATATATGTTTTATGTACCATTAATGGTTTCCAATAAGTGTAATTTCTAGAACTATTATTTTAAAATTATTTTTATCTTATGATATTTTTATGGTATGATATTTGGTATTGAATTTTTATTATCTTAATATATATATATATATATATATATATATATATATATATATATATATATATATAAAGGTGTATTAATAACATGTTGAGCAAACCTAAACATTTGTAATTGAATAATTGGTTGAAATGGATGATGTAATCAAGTAGTTAGTTAGAAGTTTGTTTATTGTTATGAATGTTGAGATGTAATAATTGACATTTAAGATAGAGTTATGTATTTAAATATCACTTGTATCATTCTTGATCAATACAAGCATAATTACTCAATTCTAAAATTCATTGTTCTTAGGTATCCAATTGGTATCAAAACTAGTTTTGTGAGTGTTTGAGCGTGAGAGAGAGTTTGAATATGGTCATAAATAGTGTGTCCCTTTCCTAATTGACAAAAGTAATAAACTATAACAATTAGGGTCATCAAATGAAGGATATT